CGGAGAAGGTACGGTGGTATTCGAAATGGTCGATGATCTGTTTGTTAACTTGGCTTTCGAATACGTCTGCCTCTCCGTTCCCCAAGACCCCTCCACGTCTGCCTCTCCGTTCCCCAAGACCCCTCCACGTCTGCCTCTCCGTCCGTTCCCCAAGACCCCTCCACGTCTGCCTCTCCGTCCGTTCCCCCAAGACCCCTCCACGTCTGCCTCTCCGTTCCCCTAGACCCCTCCACGTCTGCCTCTCCGTCCGTTCCCCAAGACCCCTCCACGTCTGCCTCTCCGTCCGTTCCCCAAGACCCCTCCACGTCTGCCTCTCCGTCCGTTCCCCAAGACCCCCTCCACGTCTGCCTCTCCGTCCGTTCCCCCCAGACCCCTCCACGTCTGCCTCTTCCGTTCCCCAAGACCCCTCCACGTCTGCTTCTCTGTCCGTTCCCCAAGACCCCTCCACGTCTGCCTCTCCGTTCCCCAAGACCCCTCCACGTCTGCCTCTCCGTCCGTTCCCCAAGACCCTCCACGTCTGCCTCTCCGTTCCCCAAGACCCCTCCACGTCTGCCTTCTCCGTTCCCCAAGACCCCTCCACGTCTGCCTCTCCGTCCGTTCCCCAGACCACTCCACGTCTGCCTCTCCGTTCCCCAAGACCCCTCCACGTCTGCCTCTCTGTTCCCCAAGACCCCTCCACGTCTGCCTCTCTGTTCCCCAAGACCCCCTCCACGTCTGCTCTCGTTCCCCAAGACCCCTCCACGTCTGCCTCTCCGTCCGTTCCCCCAGACCCCTCCACGTCTGCCTCTCCGTCCGTTCCCCAAGACCCCTCCATGTCGCCTCTCCGTCGTCCCCCAAGACCCTCCACGTCTGCCCTCTCCGTTCCCCTAGACCCCTCCACGTCTGCCTCTCCGTTCCCCCTAGACCCTCCACGTCTGCCTCTCCGTCCGTTCCCCAAGACCCCTCCACGTCTGCCTCTCCGTCCGTTCCCCCAGACCCTCCCACGTCTGCCTCTCCGTTCCCCAAGACCCCTCCACGTTCCTCTCCGTCCGTTTCCCCCAAGACCCCTCCACGTCTGCCTCTCCGTCCGTTCCCCCCAAGACCCCTCCACGTCTGCCTCTCCGTCCGTTCCCCTAGACCCCTCCACGTCTGCCTCTCCGTTCCCCAAGACCCCTCCACGTCTGCCTCTCCGTCCGTTCCCCTAGACCCCCTCCACGTCTGCCTCTCCGTCCGTTCCCCAAGACCCCTCCACGTCTGCCTCTCCGTTCCCCAAGACCCCCTCCACGTCTGCCTCTCCGTACGTTCCCCTAGACCCCTCCACGTCTGCCTCTCCCGTCCGTTCCCCAAGAACCCCTCCACGTCTGCCTCTCCGTCCGTTCCCCAAGACCCCTCCACGTCTGCCTCTCCGTCCGTTCCCCAAGACCCCTCCACGTCTGCCTCTCCGTTCCCCCAGACCCCTCCACGTCTGCCTCTCCGTTCCCCTAGACCCCTCCACGTCTGCCTCTCCGTCCGTTCCCCCAAGAACCCTCCACGTCTGCCTCTCCGTTCCCCCTAGACCCCTCCACGTCTGCCTCTCCGTCCGTTCCCCAAGACCCCTCCACGTCTGCCTCTCCGTTCCCCTAGACCCCTCCACGTCTGCCTCTCTGTCCGTTCCCCTAGACACCCTCCACGTTCTGCCTCTCCGTTCCGTTCCCCCAGTACCCCTCCACGTCGCCTCTCCCGTCCGTTCCCCTAGACCCCCTCACGTCTGCCTCTCCGTCCGTCCCCAAGACCCCTCCACGTGCTGCCTCTCCGTCCGTTTCCCCACGACCCCTCCACGTCTGCCTCTCCGTCCGTTCCCCAAGACCCCTCCACGTCTGCCTCCTCCGTCCGTTCCCCCAGACCCCTCCACGTCCTGCCTCTCCGTTCCCCAAGACCCCTCCACGTCTGCCTCTCCGTCCTTCCCCCAAGACCCCTCCACGTCTGCCTCTCTCCGTTCCCCAAGACCCCTCCACGTCTGCCTCTCCGTTCCCTCAAGACCCCTCCACGTCTGCCTCTCCGTTCCCCAAGACCCCTCCACGTCTGCCTCTCCGTCCGTTCCCCCCCAGACCCCTCACGTCTGCCTCTCCGTTCCCCTAGACCCCTCCACGTCTGCCTCTCCGTTCCCCAAGACCCATCCACGTCTGCCTCTCCGTTCCCAAGACCCCTCCACGTCTGCCTCCTCCTCCGTTCCCCAAGAACCCCTCCACGTCTGCCTCTCCGTCGTTCCCCCAAGACCCCTCCACGTCTGCCCTCTCCGTCCGTTCCCCAAGACCCCTCCACGTCTGCCTCTCCGTCCGTTCCCCAAGACCCCTCCACGTCTGCCTCTCCGTTCCCCTAGACCCCCTCCACGTCTGCCTCTTCCGTTCCCCCTAGACCCCTCCACGTCTGCCTCTCCGTCCGTTCCCCAAGACCCCTCCACGTCTGCCTCTCCGTTCCCCCCAGACCCCTCCACGTCTGCCTCTCCCGTTCCCCCAGACCCTCCACGTCTGCCTCTCCGTTCCCCAAGACCCCTCCACGTCTGCCTCTCCGTTCCCCAAGACCCCTCCACGTCTGCCTCTCCGTCCGTTCCCCTAGACCCCTCCACGTCTGCTCTCCGTCCCGTTCCCCAAGACCCCTCCACGTCTGCCTCTCCGTCCTGTTCCCAAGACCCCTCCACGTCTGCCTCTCCGTCCGTTCCCCAAGACCCCTCCACGTCTGCCTCTCCGTCCGTTCCCCAAGACCCCTCCACGTCTGCCTCTCCGTCCGTTCCCCAAGACCCCTCCACGTCTGCCTCTCCGTCCGTTCCCCAAGACCCCTCCACGTCTGCCTCTCCGTCCGTTCCCCCCAGACCCCTCCACGTCTGCCTCTCCGTTCCCCAAGACCCCCTCCTCGTCTGCCTCTCTGTCCGTTCCCCAAGACCCCCTCCACGTCTGCCTCTCCGGTTCCCCACCAGACCCCTCCACGTCTGCCTCTCCGTCCGTTTCCCCAAGACCCCTCCACGTCTGACTCTCCGTTCCCCAAGACCCCTCCACGTCTGCCTCTCCGTTCCCCAAGACCCCTCCACGTCTGCCTCTCCGTCCGTTCCCCCAGACCACTCCACGTCTGCCTCTCCGTTCCCCAAGACCCCTCCACGTCTGCCTCTCTGTTCCCCAAGACCCCTCCACGTCTGCCTCTCCGTTCCCCAAGACCCCTCCACGTCTGCCTCTCCGTTCCCCAAGACCCCTCCACGTCTGCCTCTCCGTCCGTTCCCCAAGAACCCTCCACGTCTGCCTCTCCGTCCGTTCCCCAAGACCCCTCCACGTCTGCCTCTCCTCCGTTCCCCAAGATCCCTCCACGTCTGCCTCTCTGTCCGTTCCCCAAAACCCCCCCACGTCTGCCTCTCCGTCCGTTTCCCCCAGACCCCTCCACGTGCCTCTCCCGTCCGTTCCCCCAAAGACCCCTCCATGTCTGGGCCCCTCCGTCCGTTCCCCAAGACCCCTCCACGTCTGCCTCTCCCTCCCCCCTAGACCCCTCCACCTGCCTCTTCCCCCCCCCCCCTCCCCTCTCCTTCCCCCCTACACCCCTCCACGTCGCCTCTCGTTCCCCGCCCCTCCCGTTCCCTCCTCCCAAACCCCTCCACGTCTGCCTCTCCGTCCTTCCCCAATGACCCCCCTCCACGTCTGCCTCTCCGTTCCCCAAGACCCCTCCACGTCTGCCTCTCCGTCCTTCCCCTAGACCCCCTCCACGTCTGCCCCTCTCCTTTCCCCAAGACCCCTCCACGTCCCCCTCTCCCTCGTTCCCCAGACCCCTCCACGTCTGCCTCTCCCTCCTTCCCCAAAACCCCTCCACGTCTGCCCTCCTTCCCCAAAACCCCTCCACGTCTGCCTCTCCGTCCCTTCCCCTAGACCCCTCCACGTCTGCCTCTCCGTTCCCCAAGACCCCCCCCACGTTGCCTCTCCGCTTCCCCAAAACCCCCCGCCCTCCCGTTCCCCGCCCTCTCTGTTCCCCTTCCCCAACCCCCCCAAAGTCTGCCTCTCCGTTCCCCAAGACCCCTCCACGTCTGCCTCTCTTCCGTTCCCCCAGAAACCCCCCCACGTCTGCCCCCTCCGTTCCCCCCAGACCCCTCCACGCTGCCTCCTTCCGTTCCCCAGACCCCTCCACGTCTGCCTCTCCCGTTCCCCAGACCCCTCCACGTCTGCCCTCTCCGTTTCCCCAAAACCCTCCACGTCTGCCTCTCCGTTCCCCAAGCCCCTCCCCGTCTGCCCTCTAACCTCTCCTTCCGTTCCCCAAAACCCCTCCACGTCCCGCCTCTCGTCCGTTCCCCAAGACCCTCCACGTCTGCCTCTCCGTTCCCAAGACCCCTCCCACGTCTGCCCTCTTCCCCCGTTCCCCAAGACCCCTCCACGTCTGCCTCTCCGTTCCCCAAGACCCCTCCACGTCTTTCCCTCCTCCGTTCCCCAAGACCCCTCCACGTCTGCCCCTCCCCGTTCCCAAGACCCCTCCACGTCTGCCTCTCCTGTTCCCCAAGACCCCTCCACTCTGCCTCTCTCCTTCCCAAGACCCCCCCACGTCGCCTCTCGTCCGTTCCCCAAGACCCCTCCACGTCTGCCTCTCCGTCCGTTCCCCAGACCCTCCACGTCTGCCTCTCCGTCCGTTCCCCAAGACCCCTCCAGTCTGCCTCTCCGTCCGTTCCCAAGACCCCCCCACGTCTGCCTCTCCGTCCCCCCAAAAACCCCCCCACTGTCTGCCCTCCCTCCGTCCGTTTTCCCCCCAGACCCTCCACTCTGCCTCTCCGTCCGTTCCCCAAGACCCCCTCCAGTCTGCCCTCTCCTTTCCCAAGACCCCCTCCACGTCGCCTCCTCCCGTCCCCCCTAGACCCCTCCACGTCTGCCTCTCCGTTCCCCTAAAACCCCTCCACTTTCCTCTCCGTTTCCCCTAGACCCCCTCCACGTCTGCCTCTCCGTCCGTTCCCCAAGACCCCTCCACGTCTGCCTCTCCGTTCCCCCAAGACCCTCCACGTCGCCTCTCCGTCCATTCCCCTAGACCCCTCCAACGTCTGCCTCTCCGTTCCCCAGACCCCTCCACTTCCTCTCCGTCCGTTCCCCTAGACCCCTCCACGTCTGCCTCTCGTCCGTTCCCCAAGACCCCTCCACGTCTTGCCTCTCCGTTCCCCAAAACCCCTCCACGTCTGCCTCTCTCGTCCCCCCAGACCCCTCCACGTCTGCCTCTCCGTTCCCCAGACCCCTCCACGTCTGCTCTCCGTTCCCCCAAGACCCCTCCACGTCTGCCTCTCGTCCGTTCCCCAAGACCCCCTCCACGTCTGCCTCTCCGTTCCCCAAGACCCTCCACGTCTGCCTCGCCGTTCCCCTAGACCCCTCCACGTCTGCCTCTCCGTTCCCCCAGACCCCTCCACGTTCTGCCTCTCCGTTCCCCTAGACCCCTCCACGTTCTGCTCTCCGTTCCCCCAAGACCCCTCCACGGTCATGCCTCTCCGTTCCCCCTAGAACCCTCCACGTCTGCCTCTCCGTCCGTTCCCCAAGACCCCTCCACGTCTGCCTCTCCGTCCCCCTAGACCCCTCCACGTCTGCCCTCCTCCGTTCCCCAAGACCCCTCCACGTCTGCCCTCTCGTCCGTTCCCCCAAGACCCCTCCACGTCTTGCCTCTCCGTCCCCCCTAGACCCCTCCACGTCTGCCTCTCCTCCTTCCCCAAGACACCTCCACGTCTGCCTCTCCGTCGTTCCCCTAGACCCCTCCACGTCTGCCTCTCCGTCCGTTCCCCCAGACCCCTCCACGTCTGCCTCTCCGTTCCCCAAGACCCCTCCACGTCTGCCTCTCCGTTCCCCCAGACCCCTCCACGTCTGCCTCTCCGTTCCCCTAGACCCCTCCACGTCTGCCTCTCCGTTCATGACTGTAACTAGGCCACTCAGGAACTTTCAACTGTAGTGCCTTATTGCAAACAGGATGTCTTAGTATACTTGTATTCTGTACAGGCGTCCTTCTTTTCACTCTGTCATTAAGTTAGTATTGTGGAGTAACTACACTGAATCAAAATATAAAACGCTAACATGTAAAGTGTTGGTCCCATGTTTCATGAGCTGAAATAAAAGACCCAAGAATTCTTCCATATGCACAAAAAACGTATTTCTCTCAACTGTTTTGCACAAATCTGTTTACATCCCTGTTAGTGAGCATTTCTTCTTTGCCAAGATAATCCATCCACCTGACAGGTGTGGCATTTCAAAAAGCTGATTAAACGGCATGATCATTACACAGGTGCACCTTGTGTTGGGTACAATAAAAAGCCACTCTAAAATGTGCAGTTTTGTCACACAACACAATGCCATAGATGTCTCAAGTGTTGAGGTAGTGTGCAATTGGCATGCTGACTGCAGGAATATCCACCAGAGCCAGAATTGCATGTTCATGTCTTTACCATAAGCCACCTCCAACATAATTTTAGAGAATTTGGCAGTACATCTAACCGGCCTCACAACCGCAGACCACGTGTAACCACACCAACCCAGGACCTCCACATCCGGCTTCTTCACCTGCGGGATCGTCTGAGACCAGCCACCTGGACAGCTGATGAAACTGTGGGTTTGCACAACCAAAGAATTTCTGCACAAACTGTCAGAAACCGTCTCAGGGAAGCTCATCTGCGTGCTCGTCGTCCTCACCAGGGTCTTCACCTGATTGCAGTTCTGCATCGTAACCGACTTCAGTGGGCAAATGTTCACCTTCGATGGCCACTGGTATGTTGGAGAAGTGTGCTCTTCATGGATGAAACCCGGATTCAACTGTACCGGGCAGACGTGTAGGCGAGTGGTTTGCTGACGTCAACATTGTGAATAGAGTGCCCCATGGTGGCGGTGGGGTTATGGTATGGGCAGGCATAAGCTACGGACAATGAACACAATTGCATTTTATCGATGGCAATTTGAATGCACAGAGATACCTTCACGAGTTCCTGAGGCCCATTGTCGTACCATTCATCCGCGGCCATCACATCATGTTTCAGCATGATAATGCATGGGCCCATGTTGCAAGGATCTGTACACAATTCCTGGAAGCTGGAAACGTCCCATTTCTTCCATGGCCTGCGTACTCACCAGACATGTCACACATTGAGCATGTTTGGGATGTTCTGGATCGACATGTACGACAGCGTGTTCCAGTTCCCGCCAATATCCAGCAACTTTGCACAGCCATTGAAGAGGAGTAGGACAACATTCCACAGGCCACAATCAACAGCCTGATCAGCTCTATGCGAAGGAGATGTGTCACGCTGCATGAGGCAAATGGTCACACCAGATACTGACTGGTTTTCTGACCCACACCCCTACTTTTTTTTTTAAGGTACACTATATATCCAAAAGTATGTGAACCCCTTCAAATTAGTGGATTTTACTATTTCAGCCACACCCGTTGCTGACAGGTGTAAAAATCGAGCACACAGCCATGCAATCTCCATAGACAAACATTCGCAGTAGAATGGCCGTACTGAAGAGCCCAGTGACTTTCAAAGTGGCACCGTCATAGGATGCCACCTTTCCAACAAGTCAGTTCGTCAAATTTCTGCCCTGCTAGAGCTGACCTGGTCAAATGTAAATGCTGTTATTGTGAAGTGGAAACGTCTAAGAGCAACAACGGCTCAGCCGCGAAGTGGTAGGCCACACAAGCTCACAGAACGGGACCGCCGAGTGCTGAAGCGCGTACAAATCATCTGTCCTCAGTTGCAACACTCACTACCGAATTCCAAACTGCCTCTGGAAGCAACGTCAGGACAATAACTGTTTGTCGGGAGCTTCATGAAATGCGTTTCCATGGCCGAGCAGCCGCACACAAGCCTAAGATCACCATGCGCAATGCTAAGCGTCGGCTGGAGTGGTGTAAAGCTCGCCGCCATTGGACTCTGGAGCAGTGGAAATGCGTTCTCTGGAGTGATGAATCACGCTTCACCATCTGGCAGTCCGATGGACGAATCTGGGTTTGGCGGATGCCAGGAGAACGCTACCTGCCCCAATGCATAGTGCCAACTGTAAAGTTTGGTGGAGGAGGAATAATGGTCTGGGGCTGTTTTTCATGGTTCGGGCTAGGACCCTTCGTTCCAGTGAAGGGAAATCTTAACGAGCAGGTGCCCACATACTTTTGGTCATGTAGTGTATCTGTATTCCCAGTCATGTGAAATCCATAGATCAGGGCCTAATTTATTCATTTCAATTGACACATTTCCTGTAACTAACACAATAAACGCCACATGCAACAATTTCAGTGTACAACGTTGTTGATTCATCCTCAGTTTTCTCATATCACAGCCATTCAACTTGTGAAATCCCTGAGCAGTTTCCTTCCTCTCCGGCAACAGAGTCAGGAAAGATGCCTTTATCTTTGTAGTGACTGGGTGTATTGATACACAATCCAAAGTGTATTTAATAACTTCACCATGGTCAAAGGGATATTCAATATCTGCTTTTTACCCATCTACCAATAGGTGCCCTTCTTTGCGAGGCATTGGAAAACCTCCCTAGTCTTTGTGGTTGAATCTGTGTTTGAAATTCACTGCTCGACTGAGGGACCTTACAGATCATTGTATGTGTGGGGTACAGATAATTCAAAAAAATCAGGTGTAACACTATTATGCACACAGAGTGAGTCCATGCAACTTATCTGACTTTCTAAGCACATTTTTACTCCTGAATGTATTTAGGCTTGCCATAACAAAAGGGTTGAATACTTAATGAATCAAGACATTTCAGCTTTTAATTTTAATTTGTAAAAACATTATGGGGTATAGGCCAGTGACAATCTCAATTGAATCAATTTAAAATTCAGGCTGTAACAACAAAATGTGGAAAAAGTCAAGGTCTGTGCATACTTTCTGAAGGCACTGTATCATGTATGTGTTCCACGTCACCATCTTGTGTTCCACGTCACCATCTTGTGTTCCACGTCACCATCTTGTGTTCCACGTCACCATCTCCGAACACAGTCCATATTATAATTGCTGGGCCGTCTTCCTATTCATTCCAATGTGCATATTGTCCATAACGTTGTGAATACTCTAATAGGAAGATGGGTGTCAGTAAGCCACAGACCAGCTTGTTGTGGAGGGTCCTCCCACACAACCAGTTTATTTTAATGATCAAATGTACATCATTTCTGGGCATGTATTTTCACATTAAGCCACCCAATACTAATACAAAATGACAAAAGCTCTCTTTTAAAAACACTTTTACAAAAAGACTTGAATCCCTTGTGTACCTAAACTAGCACTGACTAAGCAAAATAATAACACACAACAGACATCAGAAGTACAAATACATCTTTATTTCTCAAAATAGTTATTGCTGAAGATACAGGTTATAAAGGACAGGGAAGGCATAGTCCTCGAGACAGACAGATTGTTTTTTGGTAAGAGAAGAGTTGACGTACACAGTTTAAGTTCAAATTCAAAAGCTGAACAGAAACCAGTCAGATTACTACAAAGTCCATTGTTAAGAGAGTAGACTACCATTTAGTTCAGTTGCATCTCTTTACCTACAGCACACATGGCTACAACACGTAAGAGCTTAAACCAAGAACATATCTGAATACGACAGTTCAAACCCAGGACATATCTGAATACGACAGTTCAAACCCAGAACATATCTGAATACGACAGTTCAAACCAAGAACATATCTGAATACGACAGTTCAAACCAAGAACATATCTGAATACGACAGTTCAAACCAAGAACATATCTGAATACGACAGTTCAAACCAAGAACATATCTGAATACGACAGTTCAAACCAAGAACATATCTGAATACGACAGTTCAAACCCAGGACATTCCAGCTTTTGCAGAGCGCATTTTAACCCACCATACATAAAGACAGTCACATAGACATCACAGTCCAGTCCAAAAAAAAACAGCAGTTTGAAGAAGCAGAACAATTAGAGATTGATTGAATAGTTATCTTGTGCAGCAGTTAGCGTAGTTAGACCTGGAATCATAGGTGGTTAGGCTAAAAACATAGGATAACATCTATAGTGTTGCTGTACATTCTTAGGACCACAACCATCAGTAGTAAATAAAACTTAGTCTTGACTTAATCATTTGGGTTCTGTTAACCTGTTTGACATAATTATGTAAAATGAGTCGATAACAATATCATCAATTTTCTTAAAGTATATTATAAAATATTGTTGAGTGCAAATTTTTCCATTCATAATATTGGGTGTATTAATTAAGTGTGGAAGGGGTTCTGTGTTTTAACAACAAATATGTAGCTCCTCCCCTCGACAGTCTGGTAGACAGATGGGATAGGGGGGAATAGAGGACAGTAAGGTGCACCCTATTCCTCATGCAGTACTGGTCAAAGTAGTGCACTACATAGGGAATAGGGTGCCATTTGGGACTTCCCCCAGGTCTCTAGGGGACGGTGACATGGAAGGGGGAGCCGGGGATGTGGTCCTCACCCCACTTGACAGCCAGGACGTAGTTGCCCTTCTCCTTTAGGATATAGGAGACGTTGTACTGCATGTTGCCCATGTGTTTGACTGATACCTCCTCACAGGGGATGTGGGGGCCGTGGACTCCCACCAGCAGCATGTTCTTACCTACAGGACACAGAGATTACATGATTTATTTGTTGATTAACTGATCGATTGATTGATTTATGTTGCCAATGCATATGTTACCCAGAACCAATGTACAAAGCAGCGTTGGAATGCTCTCCCACATCGCATTACGGATGACACAGTACTATGACAATATTAGTAAGAAACAGAGGGATCCAGCACAGTAACCAGAGGGATCCAGCACAGTAACCAGAGGGATCCAGCCCAGTAACCAGAGGGATCCAGCCCAGTAACCAGAGGGATCCAGCCCAGTAACCAGAGGGATCCAACCAGAGGGATCCAGCCCAGTAACCAGAGGGATCCAGCCCAGTAACCAGAGGGATCCAGCCCAGTAACCAGAGGGATCCAGCCCAGTAACCAGAGGGATCCAGCCCAGTAACCAGAGGGATCCAGCCCAGTAAACCAGAGGGATCCAGCCCAGTAACCAGAGCCCAGTAACCAGAGGGATCCAGCCCAGTAACCAGAGGGATCCAGCACAGTAACCAGAGGGATCCAGCACAGTAACCAGAGGGATCCAGCACAGTAACCAGAGGGATCCAGCACAGTAACCAGAGGGATCCAGCACAGTAACCAGAGGGATCCAGCACAGTAACCAGAGGGATCCAGCACAGTAACCAGAGGGATCCAGCACAGTAACCAGAGGGATCCAGCACAGTAACCAGAGGGATCCAGCACAGTAACCAGAGGGATCCAGCACAGTAACCAGAGGGATCCAGCACAGTAACCAGAGGGATCCAGCACAGTAACCAGAGGGATCCAGCACAGTAACCAGAGGGATCCAGCACAGTAACCAGAGGGATCCAGCACAGTAACCAGAGGGATCCAGCACAGTAACCAGAGGGATCCAGCACAGTAACCAGAGGGATCCAGCACAGTAACCAGAGGGATCCAGCAAGTAACCAGAGGGATCCAGCACAGTAACCAGAGGGATCCAGCACAGTAACGAGAGGGATCCAGCACAGTAACCAGAGGGATCCAGCACAGTAACCAGAGGGATCCAGCCCAGTAACCAGAGGATCAGCCCAGTAACCAGAGGGATCCCCAGTACCAGGGATCCACCAGTACCAGAGGGATCCAGCCCAGTAACCAGAGGGATCCAGCCCAGTAACCAGAGGGATCCAGCCCAGTAACCAGAGGATCCAGCCCAGTACCGAGGGATCCAGCCCAGTAACCAGAGGGATCCAGCCCAGTAACCAGAGGGATCCAGCCCAGTAACCAGAGGGATCCAGCCCAGTAACCAGAGGGATCCAGCCCAGTAACCAGAGGGATCCAGCCCAGTAACCAGAGGGATCCAGCCCAGTAACCAGAGGGATCCAGCACAGTAACCAGAGGGATCCAGCACAGTAACCAGAGGGATCCAGCACAGTAACCAGAGGGATCCAGCACAGTAACCAGAGGGATCCAGCCCAGTAACCAGAGGGATCCAGCACAGTAACCAGAGGGATCCAGCACAGTAACCAGAGGGATCCAGCACAGTAACCAGAGGGATCCAGCCCAGTAACCAGAGGGATCCAGCCCAGTAACCAGAGGGATCCAGCCCAGTAACCAGAGGGATCCAGCCCAGTAACCAGAGGGATCCAGCCCAGTAACCAGAGGGATCCAGCCCAGTAACCAGAGGGATCCAGCCCAGTAACCAGAGGGGATCCAGCACAGTAACCAGAGGGATCCAGCACAGTAACCAGAGGGATCCAGCACAGTAACCAGAGGGATCCAGCACAGTAACCAGAGGGATCCAGCCCAGTAACCAGAGGGATCCCAGCCCAGTAACCAGAGGGATCCAGCCCCAGTAACCAGAGGGATCCAGCACAGTAACCAGAGGGATCCAGCACAGTAACCAGAGGGATCCAGCACAGTAACCAGAGGGATCCAGCACAGTAACCAGAGGGATCCAGCACAGTAACCAGAGGGATCCAGCACAGTAACCAGAGGGATCCAGCACAGTAACCAGAGGGATCCAGCACAGTAACCAGAGGGATCCAGCACAGTAACCAGAGGGATCCAGCACAGTAACCAGAGGGATCCAGCACAGTAACCAGAGGGATCCAGCACAGTAACCACATTCTAACCCAAATCTAGTAGCCAAACAAGTCTGTCATGTAGTCTGTCATAACTAATAATAATAATAACAATAGTTATAATAACTAACAATAATAATAATAAGTTATTATAATAATAATAACAATAGTTAGAACAATAATAGTAGTTACAATAACAATAGTTATAATAATAATGTTATAATAATAATAAAAATAATAAAAATAGTAATAATAATAACTAATAATCGTAATAAGAATATTTATAATAATAATAGTTATAATAATAATAATAATAATAATAATAATAATAATAATAATAATAATAAGGACTTTTCAAGGACCCAAAGTCGCTTTTAGTAATATAATGTCTCCTCACCAGCCTTGCTGCAGTCGACAGAGAAGCTGGCCCTCTGGCCCATGTAGGCCTTGCTGAGCCCTGGGCCACGGGTGACCACCTTACTGGCGTCGGAGGCAGAGCGAGGCAGGGCGCTGTGGGAGTTGGTCATGGATGATTTGGTTACTGACTCCACCATCAAGGAGGACGTCTCACTGGCGTTACTCACATTCACCAGGCGCTGACCTGAGAGGAGGGAAGAGATTGATTCAAGTCAATAACCTGTGTCTGAAAAGGCACTCTATTCTCTATGGCTCTATTGCAGACCTAGTTAAGACTTTCTATTGCAGACCTAGTTAAGACATTCTATTGCAGACCTAGTTAAGACGTTCTATTGCAGACCTAGTTAAGACGTTCTATTGCAGACCTAGTTAAGACGTTCTATTGCAGACCTAGTTAAGACGTTCTATTGCAGACCTAGTTAAGACGTTCTATTGCAGACCTAGTTAAGACGTTCTATTGCAGACCTAGTTAAGACGTTCTATTGCCAGACCTAGTTAAGACGTTCTATTGCAGACCTAGTTAAGACGTTCTATTGCAGACCTAGTTAAGACGTTCTATTGCAGACCTAGTTAAGACTTTCTATTGCAGACCTAGTTAAGACTTTCTATTGCAGACCTAGTTAAGACGTTCTATGCAGACCTAGTTAAGACGTTCTATTGCAGACCTAGTTAAGACGTTCTATTGCAGACCTAGTTAAGACTTTCTATTGCAGACCTAGTTAAGACTTTCTATTGCAGACCTAGTTAAGACGTTCTATTGCAGACCTAGTTAAGACGTTCTATTGCAGACCTAGTTAAGACGTTCTATTGCAGACCTAGTTAAGACGTTCTATTGCAGACCTAGTTAAGACGTTCTATTGCAGACCTAGTTAAGACGTTCTATTGCAGACCTAGTTAAGACTTTCTATTGCAGACCTAGTTAAGACGTTCTATTGCAGACCTAGTTAAGACTTTCTATTGCAGACCTAGTTAAGACGTTCTATTGCAGACCTAGTTAAGACTTTCTATTGCAGACCTAGTTAAGACTTTCTATTGCAGACCTAGTTAAGACGTTCTATTGCAGACCTAGTTAAGACGTTCTATTGCAGACCTAGTTAAGACGTTCTATTGCAGACCTAGTTAAGACGTTCTATTGCAGACCTAGTTAAGACGTTCTATTGCAGACCTAGTTAAGATGTTCTATTGCAGACCTAGTTAAGACGTTCTATTGCAGACCTAGTTAAGACGTTCTATTGCAGACCTAGTTAAGACTTTCTATTGCAGACCTACCTGTGACTTTGGCCTTGAAGGGGCTGCCAGTGATGTGGTTGGGTCCTCCATATTTGATGGAAACCAGGTAGTTCCCGGGGGCCATAGGAGTGTACTGGACCTTGTATCCCTCCGGACACTCCTGGCAGTCCATCTTGACCTTGGACGGACCCTCGATGGTCACCGCCAGGGCTCCGGGGCCCGCCTTGGTGTTGTTGATGATGAACTCTGACTGCTGGCCTAGAGACAAGACAGAGAAAGGGTTAAGGTAGGTTTAGGACAGGGGTGGAGCAGAATCCGGCCCGCAGGAGGTTTGAGTATTGGTTAGGACAAGGTTAAAGAGACGTTACATTCCAAAATGAAAGTTTGTCAGGTGTTTTCAGAACCCAAGAGGTCTTATGCTGAGGGAAACCCCAAGTCCCAGGTCATCTGTTCAGTAGATCCAGCCATATGTCACAATCAGTTCCAGATCCACAGTCCTTACTTACCCATTCCATTTATTTGGGCCTGAGGTATATATATATATATATATATATATACATATATATATATATATATATATATATATATATATATATATATATATATATATATATATATATATACTATATATATATATATATATATATATCTGGATCTACTATTGTTACCATGTGACTCATCCACACCCATACTCCAATGATTTAACCTCACCAGCCATGTGACACACAGACATATGTACTGTACTGAGATCAGAAGAAGAGGTATAAACCTGTCTATCTGGCATGTCTGCTCACTAAACATAAAATATATAAATCTGTCTGACACTGATCTACTGTAGTATGTAGTGTATATACCCAGCGCTGCCTGGGCAGTATCTACTGTATATATCCAGCGCTGCCTGGGCAGTATCTACTGTAGTATGTAGTGTATATATCCAGCGCTGCCTGGGCAGCATCTACTGTAGTATGTAGTGTATATACCCAGCGCTGCCTGGGCAGTATCTACAGTAGTATGTAGTGTATATATCCAGCGCTGCCTGGGCAGTATCTACTGTAGTATGTAGTGTATATATCCAGCGCTGCCTGGGCAGTATCTACTGTAGTATGTAGTGTATATATCCAGCGCTGCCTGGGCAGTATCTACTGTAGTATGTAGTGTATATATCCAGCGCTGCCTGGGCAGTATCTACTGTATATATCCAGCGCTGCCTGGGCAGTATCTACTGTAGTATGTAGTGTATATATCCAGCGCTGCCTGGGCAGTATCTACTGTAGTATGTAGTGTATATATCCAGCGCTGCCTGGGCAGTATCTACGGTAGTATGTAGTGTATATACCCAGCGCTGCCTGGGCAGTATCTACTGTAGTATGTAGTGTATATACCCAGCGCTGCCTGGGCAGTATCTACTGTATATATCCAGCGCTGCCTGGGCAGTATCTACTGTAGTATGTAGTGTATATATCCAGCGCTGCCTGGGCAGTATCTACTGTAGTATGTAGTGTATATACCCAGCGCTGCCTGGGCAGTATCTACTGTAGTATGTAGTGTATATATCCAGCGCTGCCTGGGCAGTATCTACAGTAGTATGTAGTGTATATATCCAGCGCTGCCTGGGCAGCATCTACAGTAGTATGTAGTGTATATATCCAGCGCTGCCTGGGCAGCATCTACAGTAGTATGTAGTGTATATATCCAGCGCTGCCTGGGCAGTATCTACTGTAGTATGTAGTGTATATATCCAGCGCTGCCTGGGCAGTATCTACAGTAGTATGTAGTGTATATATCCAGCGCTGCCTGGGCAGTATCTACTGTAGTATGTAGTGTATATATCCAGCGCTGCCTGGGCAGTATCTACTGTAGTATGTAGTGTATATACCCAGCGCTGCCTGGGCAGTATCTACTGTAGTATGTAGTGTATATACCCAGCGCTGCCTGGGCAGTATCTACAGTAGTATGTAGTGTATATATCCAGCGCTGCCTGGGCAGTATCTACGGTAGTATGTAGTGTATATACCCAGCGCTGCCTGGGCAGTATCTACTGTAGTATGTAGTGTATATACCCAGCGCTGCCTGGGCAGTATCTACTGTATATATCCAGCGCTGCCTGGGCAGCATCTACTGTAGTATGTAGTGTATATATCCAGCACTGCCTGGGCAGTATCTACTGTAGTATGTAGTGTATATATCCAGCGCTGCCTGGGCAGCATCTACAGTAGTATGTAGTGTATATATCCAGCGCTGCCTGGGCAGTATCTACTGTAGTATGTAGTGTATATACCCAGCGCTGCCTGGGCAGTATCTACGGTAGTATGTAGTGTATATACCCAGCGCTGCCTGGGCAGTATCTACTGTAGTATGTAGTGTATATATCCAGCGCTGCCTGGGCAGCATCTACAGTAGTATGTAGTGTATATACCCAGCGCTGCCTGGGCAGTATCTACTGTATATATCCAGCGCTGCCTGGGCAGCATCTACAGTAGTATGTAGTGTATATACCCAGCGCTGCCTGGGCAGTATCTACTGTATATATCCAGCGCTGCCTGGGCAGCATCTACAGTAGTATGTAGTGTATATACCCAGCGCTGCCTGGGCAGTATCTACAGTAGTATGTAGTGTATATATCCAGCGCTGCCTGGGCAGTATCTACAGTAGTATGTAGTGTATATACCCAGCGCTGCCTGGGCAGTATCTACGGTAGTATGTAGTGTATATATCCAGCGCTGCCTGGGCAGCATCTACTGTAGTATGTAGTGTATATATCCAGCGCTGCCTGGGCAGTATCTACTGTATATATCCAGCGCTGCCTGGGCAGTATCTACTGTATATATCCAGCGCTGCCTGGGCAGCATCTACAGTAGTATGTAGTGTATATACCCAGCGCTGCCTGGGCAGTATCTACAGTAGTATGTACTGTATATACCCAGCGCTGCCTGGGCAGTATCTACTGTAGTATGTAGTGTATATACCCAGCGCTGCCAGTCAAGCCCAGCTTAATTATTTGAAATGATTTAGAATAGTATTTGAACCCAGGTCGTCTGTACAGAGCTGGGTCTGCTTCCCAAATGCCACCCTATTCCCTACGTAGTGCACTACTTATAACCAGATCCCTATGGGCCCTAGTCAAAAGTAGCGCACTATATATAGAGAATGTAAAGGCTGGGAGTTCAGACCATGAGGCCACCAGACCACCGTAACGACCTGATTTATGTTTCCTCCATAACAAGCCTGTTCTTCTTCACCCTCCATTCAAACGCTACAGCTCTCATAAACATTGGTTGCGTTCCAAAATGGCACCCTATTCCCTACATAGTGCACTACTTTTAACTAGGGCTCACAGCACACTACTTTCTGACGATCGCCCTATGTAGGAAACGGGGACCCATTTGGGACGCAGCCCAACGGTTATGTGGCGCCAGGTGTTATCCAGACCTCTGGCCTTTTCTACTCCATTGTGATGTTCGAGTGTGAGCTTGTTTTAATGTAATAGGTTGGTCAACAGTAGACAGGTTGAACGCAGCCTAATTTGATGATCCGGCAGGTTAGAGAGATATATTATACCCAGAATGTACCATGAAAGTAGGCTATTTTGGACAATGAAGGTGGTAACAGAGAGTGATGGTGCGGGCTCAATGGGGACAGAAAAGGAATAGAGAACAAGCATTAAAACGAACTGACATAGTGCATGTGGACAGATAAGTTAACAAGGTGTGAGCGTCGAGTGCAGACAATTGAATAAAACACAATAGAAACCAGGATGAGGAGGCTGGAGGGCAGAGATGAGAGTAGACGAACGGAGAGAGATGGACGGGAGCAGAGTAGATGAGAAGAGAGAAGGGAGGAGAGACCAGGAGATGGAGGGGAGAGAGGAGAGATGGAGGGGAGAGAGAGGAGAGAGAGGAGAGATGGAGGGAGAGAGAGAGAGATGGAGGGAGAGAGAGAGAGAGTGGAGAGAGAGGAGGGAGGGAGGAGAGAGAGAGAGGGAGGAGAGAGAGAGAAGAGGGAGTGGAGGGAGAGAGAGAGATGGAGGGAGAGAGGAGAGAGGATGGAGGGAGGGAGGGAGAGAGAGAGAGATGGAGGGAGGGGGAGGAGAGAGAGGAGATGGAGGGAGGAGAGAGAGAGATGGAGGGAGAGAGAGATGGAGGAGTAGTAGTAGTGGTAGTAGTAGTAGTAGTAGGGTAGTAGTTAGTGGCAGTAGTAGTAGTAGTAATAGTAGTAGTGAGTAGTGGTGGCAGTAGTAGTGGTGGTAGTAGTAGTAGTGGTGGTGGTGGTGGTGGTGGTGGTAGTAATAATAGTAGTAGTAATAGAAATAGTAGTGGTAGTAGAAGTAGTGGTGGTGGTAGTAGTAATAGTAATAGTAGTAGTAGTAATACTAATAGTAGTGGTAGTAGTAGTAATAATAGTAGTAGTAGTAGTAGTAGTAGTAATAGTAGTAGTAGTAGTAATAATAATAATAATAATAATAGTAGTAGTAGTGGTAGTAGTGGTAGTAGTAGTAGTGGTGGTAGTAGTAGTGGTAGTAGTAGTAGTAGTAGTAGTGGTAGTAGTAGTAGTAGTAGTAGTAGTAGTAGTAGTAGTAGTAGTGGTAGTAGTAGTAGTGGTAGTAGTGGTAGTAGTAGTAGTAGTAGTAGTGGTGGTAGTAGTAGTAGTAGTGGTAGTAGTAGTGGTAGTAGTAGTAGTAGTAGTAGTAGTAGTAGTAGTAGTAGTAGTAGTAGTAGTCCCATTGCTTAGGAGAGAATGAAGAAAGGCTGTGTTAAGGTTAGAGTAAGGTGGTACCAAGGTTAGAGTAAGGTGGTATCAATAACAAGGTCACCTGTGGTCCCTCTCTCCAGTCCAGCTCCGTGTGCAGTGACCAGCCCTGCGTCTCCGCTCTGCCCAGGCTCTCCCACCCGCACCTGGAAGGGGCTGCCGGGGATGTGGCTGCCGTTGAACTTGACATCGATGGAGTGGAGCCCGTTCTCACGCGGGATGAACCGGATAGCATACTTATCTGGGGGGGGAGGGAACAGATAAATGGTTTAATCAAGACTCCTAATAAGGGATTGGACATATACATATACTGAGCCTTCCGAAAGTATTCCCCTTGACTTATTCCACATTGACTAGGTGTACTGATACACCATCCAAAGTCTAATAACTACACCATGCTCAAAGGGGATATTCAATGTCTGCATTATTTTTACCAATCTACCAATAGGTGGCCTTCTTTGCGAGCCATTGGGAAATCTCCCTGGTCATTGTGGTTGAATCTGGTTTTGAAATTCACTGTTCGACTGAGGGACCTTTCAAATAATTGTACGTGTGGGGTACAGAGATGAGGTAGTCATTCAAAAATCATGTCCATGCAACTTATTTTGTGACTTGTTAAGCAAATTCTTCCTCCTGAACTTATTTAGGCTTGCCATACAAAGGGGGGGTTGAATACTTACTTCAGCTTTACATTTGTAATTAATTTGTACAAATTTCAAAAAACATAATTCCACTTTGATAAAATTGAGATTTGTTGTCACCCCATAATGTCAAATTTAAATTCAGGCTGTAACACAACAAAATGTGGAAAAAGTCAAGGGGTGTGAATACTTTCTGAAGGCAATAACAATGAGGGTCATATCAACAGCTATACATATAACATAATGAGGGACATATCAACAGCTATACATATAACATAATGAGGGACATATCAACAGCTAGACATATAACATAATGAGGGACATATCAACAGCTTTACATATAACATAATGAGGGACATATCAACAGCTTTACATATAACATAAAGAGGGACATATCAACAACAGCTAGACATATAACATAATGAGGGACATATCAACAGCTTTACATATAACATAATGAGGGACATATCAACAGCTAGACATATAACATAATGAGGGACATATCAACAGCTAGACATATAACATAATGAGGGACATATCAACAGCTTTACATATAACATAATGAGGGACATATCAACAGCTAGACATATAACATAATGAGGGACATATCAACAGCTTTACATATAACATAATGAGGGACATATCAACAGCTAGACATATAACATAATGAGGGACATATCAACAGCTAGACATATAACATAATGAGGGACATATCAACAGCTTTACATATAACATAATGAGGGACATATCAACAGCTTTACATATAACATAATGAGGGACATATCAACAGCTAGACATATAACATAATGAGGGACATATCAACAGCTTTACATATAACATAATGAGGGACATATCAACAGCTAGACATAACATAATGAGGGACATATCAACAGCTATACATATAACATAATGAGGGACATATCAACAGCTAGACATATAACATAATGAGGGACATATTATTATTCCCCTTAGGAAGCCTCACCTTGCTCCAGTTGAGACACAGCACATTCCTCCAGAGCTCCGGAGGGTGAGTGGACCTTGGCGTCGATGGTTCCCTTGGCACCGTTCAGATGTACCGCAAAGGATGCTGGGTGGTTTACCTTGAGGCCTGACTCCTGGAGGCAGCCAATCAACAGGTTAGTGAAGCCCCTCCCACATGCTCTACACACCCAATCAGAGGGAGTGTCCCATGGAGAACCAATCATCAGCGCGGGTCTGATTGGTCAGCCAAGGTTGTGGCTTGCATTGCCACCTCAGACCCAAGAATACAAGGCCATTATAATTTTCGTTACCATTTTATAAATCAAGGTACTCCCCATGTTGGAGACAGTCAGCCCGAGTACTCTTGCTGCACAGAATCTACAAATCACCTTGCACTCTGAACAACTTCTCATGCAATGCTCCTTTCACATGAACAAAGATGAACAAAAAATCTGCCACAGCACCTTGGCTCAGGCTGATCTCCACTCGGATGTGAACACTTGCATCATACCACTTTAGAACACAGAACACCACTACGGATCTAATAACTACCATTGTATTTTTACCTGTGCTCACCTTGGACCGGCTAATGCCTAGAGAGGTAGACCTGAGTCCTCGTAGGTACTCTACTATAGACAGTACAGGTCTATAGGGTTAGGACAGGATTACTACAGAGCTAGAATAAAGTTACTAAAAAGGTTCTAGAAGACTAAACCAGGTGGGGGCGGGGTCTACAGGTATGAGGAGTGGGCGGGGTCTACAGGTATGAGGAGTGGGCGGGGTCTACAGGTATGAGGAGTGGGCGGGGTCTACAGGTATGAGGGTGGGCGGGGTCTACAGGTATGAGGAGTGGGCGGGGGCTACAGGTATGAAGGGGTGGGCGGGTCTTCCTCTCTCTGCTTTAGCCAGCCAAGCAGAGAGCCGGAATGATGTTGATGCTGTTAAAAGCCTTTAAATGAAACACAAGAGAAACACCACAGAGTTCCACACCAGAGTATGAAGGATGTCCCGCAGCTATTCACAACAAGATAAAACTAAGCTCTAGATTAGCTCACACTTTATTTGGATAATTACCAATCGATGGTCCATAGATTGCAGCTAATATACAACAGCTTGGCTTACTAGGTGGGGACTATCAAGATCAAGTGAAAAATGAATATGGGATTCACCTCCTCCATGTTTGCTGTAAGTACATGGAGTATGTGTGTGTAAGTCTGTATAAAGTGCACCTTCTAGCTCCAACAGGAAGTTGGCTTTAAAGGGTTTAAGTGACATTGTTGGTCATTTGGAGTCCAGTGGGTCCAGTCCATAACCCTAACATGATACCATTTGGAGTCCAGTGGGTCCAGCCCATAACCCTAACATGATACCATTTGGAGTCCAGTGGGTCCAGCCCATAACCCTAACATGATACCATTTGGAGTCCAGTGGGTCCAGCCCATAACCCTAACATGATACCATTTGGAGTCCAGTGGGTCCAGCCCATAACCCTAACATGATACCATTTGGAGCCCAATGGGTCCAGTCCATAACCCTAACATGATACCATTTGGAGTCCAGTGGGTCCAGCCCATAACCCTAACATGATACCATTTGGAGCCCAATGGGTCCAGTCCATAACCCTAACATGATACCATTTGGAGTCCAGTGGGTCCAGTCCATAACCCTAACATGATACCATTTGGAGCCCAATGGGTCCAGTCCATAACCCTAACATGATACCATTTGGAGCCCAATGGGTCCAGTCCATAACCCTAACATGATACCATTTGGAGCCCAATGGGTCCAGTCCATAACCCTAACATGATACCATTTGGAGCCCAATGGGTCCAGTCCATAACCCTAACATGATACCATTTGGAGCCCAATGGGTCCAGTCCATAACCCTAACATGATACCATTTGGAGCCCAATGGGTCCAGTCCATAACCCTAACATGATACCATTTGGAGTCCAGTGGGTCCAGTCCATAACCCTAACATGATACCATTTGGAGTCCAGTGGGTCCAGTCCATAACCCTAACATGATACCATTTGGAGTCCAGTGGGGTCCAGTCCATAACCCTAACATGATACCATTTGGAGTCCAGTGGGTCCAGTCCATAACCCTAACATGATACCATTTGGAGTCCAATGGGTCCAGTCCATAACCCTAACATGATACCATTTGGAGTCCAGTGGGTCCAGTCCATAACCCTAACATGATACCATTTGGAGTCCAGTGGGTCCAGTCCATAACCCTAACATGATACCATTTGGAGTCCAATGGGTCCAGTCCATAACCCTAACATGATACCATTTGGAGTCCAATGGGTCCAGTCCATAACCCTAACATGATACCATTTGGAGTCCAGTGGGTCCAGTCCATAACCCTAACATGATACCATTTGGAGTCCAGTGGGTCCAGTCCATAACCCTAACATGATACCATTTGGAGTCCAGTGGGTCCAGTCCATAACCCTAACATGATACCATTTGGAGTCCAGTGGGTCCAGTCCATAACCCTAACATGATACCATTTGGAGTCCAATGGGTCCAGTCCATAACCCTAACATGATACCATTTGGAGTCCAATGGGTCCAGTCCATAACCCTAACATGATACCATTTGGAGTCCAGTGGGTCCAGTCCATAACCCTAACATGATACCATTTGGAGTCCAGTGGGTCCAGTCCATAACCCTAACATGATACCATTTGGAGTCCAGTGGGTCCAGTCCATAACCCTAACATGATACCATTTGGAGTCCAGTGGGTCCAGTCCATAACCCTAACATGATACCATTTGGAGTCCAGTGGGTCCAGTCCATAACCCTAACATGATACCATTTGGAGTCCAGTGGGTCCAGTCCATACTAGTGATGCCTCATTAAGATATGGGAGTAGGGCTTTGGAACATACAGTAGTTCTTTATTCCCATTTAAAACACATTATTCAATCTGATAGAAGATAATACAGCTGATTGGCCCACCACTATCTTATATCTCCATTCAATCTATTTTAAGTTGATGTAACAATTTGAGTCCCATTTGAGATACAAATCTCTTTTTACAAGGGAGCTCTGGAAATGTTGAAACTGAATAGATTTGTTGTGCAACTCACGAACGAATAAGTGTTAGGAGCTTGCAAACATTCTTCTTTTTTTTTTTCCTAACTAAATAGCTGCGGACATGGTGCAGGTGTGGAGGTGTCTCCTCGTGTCTCACCTGAAGACTAGCAACAGTGAGGCGGCGGGCGTCGTCCGTTGGCGCCGTGACGGGCACGAGGTACGGGCTGTCTGGGATATGCTCCTCGTTGAACTTCACAGACACCTCATAGTCACCTGCAGAGAAAGATGTGTGTGTTGACAACAACAAAAGGTATAGTACTGTATAGACCATGGCTGTCTGAAATCTGGCTTGTGTATTACCTACATAAACAACATACTATTTACAACGTTTAGGGAAAAAACGAATGCAGTAAACAACAAATATCATCATACTAGGCTCCTCCTACTGAGAATATCATCATACTAGGCTCCTCCTACTGAGAATATCATCATACTAGGCTCCTCCTACTGAGAATGTGTCATTAATGCGCAACTGCATTGATTCCCGTCATTGGTTCATTTTTGGTACAACGCTTCCCCTCAGCTCACCGACAACGATGAGACAGCCTATAGGGAGGAGGTCAGAGACCTGGCAGAGTGGTGCCAGGACAACAACCTCTATCTCAACGTGAGCAAGACAAAGGAGCTGATCGTGGACTACAGGAAAAGGAGGGCCGAACACACCCCCATTCTCATCAACGGGGCTGTAGTGGAGCGGGTCGAGAGTTTCAAGTTCCTTGGTGTCCACATCACCAACAAACTATCATGGTCCAAACACACCAAGACAGTCGTGAAGAGGGCACGACAACGCCTATTCCCCCTCAGGAGACTGAAAAGATTTGGCATGGGTCCTCAGATCCTCAAAAAGTTCAACAGCTGCACCATCGAGAGCATCCTGACTGGTTGCATCACCGCCTGGTATGGCAACTGCTCGTCATCCGACCGTGAGGCGCTACAGAGGGTAGTGCGTACGGCCCAGTACATCACTGGGGCCAAGCTTCCTGCCATCCAGGACCTACACTACCAGTCTAAAGTTTGGACACCCCTACTCATTCAAGGGTTTTTATTTTTACTATTTTCTACATTGTAGAATAATAGTGAAGACATCAAAACTATGAAATAACACATACGGAATCATGTAGTAAACAAATCAAAATATATTTTATATTTGAGGTTCTTCAAATAGCCACCCTTTGCCTTGACAGCTTTGCACACTCTTGGCATTCTCTCAACCAGCTTCACCTGGAATGCTTTTCCAACAGTCTTGAAGGAGTTCCCACATATGCTGAGCACTTGTTGGCTGATTTTCCTTCACTCTGCCTTCCGACTCATCCCAAACCATCTCAATTGGGTTGAGGTCGGGGGATTGTGGAGGCCAGGTCATCTGATGCAGCACTCCATCACTCTCCTTCTTGATAAAATAATCTTTACACAGCCTGGAGGTGTGTTGGGTCATTGTCCTGTTGAAAAACAAATGAGTCCCACTAAGCCCAAACCAGATGGGATGGTCTAATGTCCATTGCTCGTGTTTTTTGGCCCAAGCAAGTCTTTTCTTCTTATTGGTGTCCTTTAGTAGTGGTTTCTTTGCAGCAATTCAACCATGAAGGCCTGATTCACACAGTCCCCTCTGAACAGTTGATGTTGAGGTGTGTCTGTTACTTGAACTCTGTGAAGCATTTATTTGGGCTGCAATTTCTGATGCTGGTAACTCTAATTAACTTATCCTCTGCAGCAGAGGTAACTCTGGGTCTTCCATTCCTGTGGCGGTCCTCATGAGAGCCAGTTTCATCATAGTGCTTGATGGTTTTTGCGACTGCACTTGAAGAAACGTTCAAAGTTCTTGAAATGTTCCGTATTGACTGACCTTCATGTCTTAAAGTAATGATGGACTGTCGTTTCTCTTTGCTTATTTGAGCTGTTCTTGACATAATATGGACTTGGTCTTTTACCAAATAGGGCTATCTTCTGTATACCCACCCTACCTTGTCACAAAACAACTGATTGGCTCAAACACATTAAGAAGGAAATAAATTCCACAAATTAACTTTTAAGAACGCACACCTGTTAATTGAAATGCATTCCAGGTGACTACCTCATGAAGCTGGTTGAGAGAATGCCAAGAGTGTGCAAAGCTGTCATCAAGGCAAAGGGTGGCTATTTGAAGAATCTCAAATATAAAATATATTTTCATTTATTTAACACTTTTTGGGTTACTACATGATTCCATGTGTGTTATTTCATAGTTTTGATGTCGTCACTATTTTTCTACAATGTAGAAAATAGTAAAAATAAAGAAAAACCCTTTAATTAATAGGTGTGTCCAAACTTTTGACTGGTAGTGTATATACTAGGCGGTGTCAGAGGAAGGCCCAAGTCATAGACTGTTCTCTCTGCTACCGTATGGCAAGCGGTACCGGAGCGCCAAGTCTAGATCCAAAAGGCTCCTTAACAGCTTCTACCCCCAAGCCATAAGACTCCTGAACAATTAATCAAATGGCCACCCAGACTATTTACATTGACCCCCCCCCCCCCCTTTGTTTTTACACTGCTGCTACCCACTGTTTATTATCTATGCATAATCACTTTACCCCTACCTACATGTACAAATGACCTCGACTAACATGTACCCCAGCACATTGACTCGGTACCGGTACCCCCTGTATATAGCCTCGTTATTGTTATTTTATTGTGTTACTTTTTATTTTATACTTTAGTTTATTTAGTAAATATTTTCTTAACTCTTTCTTAAAACTCCATTGTTGGTTAAGGGCTTATAAGTAAGCACTTCACAGTAAGGTCTACACCTGTTGTATTCGACGCATGTGACAAATAAAATGTGATTTGATTTGATTATCAGCTGTTGTCAGACACATGTCGGTCTCGATAGACGATTCTGTTCCTCAATAGTGTTCAGTGAATTCTACTAGATGAGAAGCTGAAATGAGTATGACATCCTGGCATTTAAAGTATACTCATAAAAATAAAAATAAAAATCACATACTATAAAACGTTACTTATTCGCATACCCAAAATACCTACCATTTAGAACGCAAGTACAGGTATTGGGACACAACCAGTTACACTATTACCTTTATAAGACCCATTCAACTATACCTTAAGATACGCAGGAAAACTCAGGGAAACTAAATATGCAGTAAAACTCAGGGAAACTAAATATGCAGTAAAAACTCAGGGAAACTAAATATGCAGTAAAACTCAGGGAAACTAAATATGCAGTAAAAACTCAGGTAAACTAAATATGCAGTAAAAACTCAGGGAAACTAAATATGCAGTAAAACAACATTTGAGCATAGAGAAGAATTCAATCTGTCGATGTGCCCTTGAGCAAGGCACTTAACCCTAATTGAATAAATGACTAAAATGTAAATGTAAATGTAATTCAACATGACATTTGAAACTGTAATGTCTGATAGATTGTTGATCCAGTGACCAGGTGGCTGGGTCCTTACCAGGCTCTTGAGCTATGTAAGACACCCCACAGGATCCATCTTTCCTGTCTTCAAAGGAGATCTCAGCTCTGCTGGGCCCCTCTACCGCGACGGACAGACCACCGGCACCAGCCTCCCGCGTCCAGATACTGAACTCCGCTATGGAGGAGAAGGAGACATAGTTATCAATATTATATAGAGTCATATTTGTCCCCCATGTGGAGAGAGATGTGGAAAGATGGAACGATTTAGAGACAGATGGAGAGGATCAAGAGATGGATAAAGAGAGAATAAGAGAGCTATACATCTATATCTCTACCTGGTACTCCACACTCTGCCTTCTCCAGGCCTGGCCCCCCTGCCTGGACCTTCCCAGCCCCTCCCTCTCCCAGGGGCCCCACAGTGAACTGGAAGGGGCTCCCAGGAATGTGCTGGTCCCTGTATTTCACAGCCACGGTGTGAATGCCCATCTCATTGGGCACGAAGCGTACGCAGTAGGTGCCGGGCCCCACCGCCTCCATGTCTGCCTTCTCTGTGGTGCCAGAGGGACTGGTTACCTGGGCTGACACATCATGGATGTCTATCTCTGAGGAGGTAGAGAAGGAGAGAGAGAGGTAGAGAAAGAGAGAGAGAGAGGGGAGGGAGAGAGGAGAGGGGAGAGAGAGAGGAGGGGAGAGAGAGGGAGAGAATGGAGGGAGGGAGAGGCAGAAGGAAGGAGGGGGGAGAAGGAGGGGGAGAAGGGAGAGGGAGAGAGGTGATGTATATACTATTATATTATTATTATTATTATTATTATTATTATTATTATTATGTATTAGTCCACAGCACAGAGAGAGAAACAGGCTGTAGGGAGACTCACAGTCAGTCAGTCAGAGAGAGAAACAGGCTGTAGGGAGACTCACAGTCAGTCAGAGAGAGAAACAGGCTGTAGGGAGACTCACAGTCAGTCAGTCAGAGAGAGAAACAGGCTGTAGGGAGACTCACAGTCAGTCAGTCAGAGAGAGAAACAGGCTGTAGGGAGAGTCAGAGTCAGTCAGAGAGAGAAACAGGCTGTAGGGAGACTCACAGTCAGTCAGAGAGAGAAACAGGCTGTAGGGAGACTCACAGTCAGTCAGAGAGAGAAACAGGCTGTAGGGAGAGTCAGAGTCAGTCAGAGAGAGAAACAGGCTGTAGGGAGACTCACAGTCAGTCAGAGAGAGAAACAGGCTGTAGGGAGACTCACAGTCAGTCAGAGAGAGAAACAGGCTGTAGGGAGACTCACAGTCAGTCAGTCAGAGAGAGAAACAGGCTGTAGGGAGAGTCAGAGTTTCACTCCCCCTCGCTCCCTCTCCCCCTCCAGAAAGTCAGGTAATGTCGATATTTCACTTTTAAAAGCAGAACATAAAAGAAACCAAACAAACATGCAGCTTTAAATACAATGGAATAATCTTAAGAGACTGTTGGTGCATGTGAAGGCACATACACACTGGTGACATGTAATGAAGATGGAGTGCGTTCATTCTGCCAACCTCGCCGTCCGAAAGCCCAGTGCTATCAACGCACCCTCCAGCCCTGTGGGCCTCGCCAGGGGGGTAGCAGCGCTCCACATGCCCACCGCCCTGCACCGTACCAGGGTAGTAGCAGTGGAGTCCCTGCCTAGAACCAGGGTGGCACCAGAGGTCCTCCACGTGCCCGGGGCCCTGCCCAGTACTAGGCCAGACAGCCTGGACACCACCCTGCCTCTGCCACCAGGGGGCCCTCCACGGCTCCCCAGCCACACAGAGCAGTGGGAGCGACATATAGGAGAGACACCATAGAGGATTTCCTGGGATAGAGCCAGAAGGAACCACGTCACTATAGGAGGAGAAACAGGGAGAGGGAGGAGGAGGAGGAGGAGGAGGGAGGAGGAGGAGGAGGAGGAGGAGAGGAGAAACAGGGAGGGAGGAGGGAGGAGGAGGAGGAGGTGGAGGAGAAACAGGGAGAGGGAGGAGGAGGAGGGGGTGGAGGAGGAGAAACAGGGAGAGGGAGGAGGAGGAGGGGGTGGAGGAGGAGAAACAGGGAGAGGGAGGAGGAGGAGGTGGTAGGGGGTAGGAGGCGGAGCAAGGACAAAACCCAGGGAGGAGAAGAAGAAAACAGGGAGAGAGGGACGAGGAGGGGAGGAGAAAGAAACAGGGTCAGAGGGAAGAGAAGTCAGGGCTGGAAAAGAAAAGAAGGTCCAGGTACAGTAAAACAGTAACAGAAAGGAAAGAGGCCCCCCAGGTACAGTAAACACAGTAACAGAAAGAAAAGAGGCCCAGGTACAGTAAACAGTTAAACAGAAAGAAAGAGGCCCCCAAGGTCCAAGTAAACAGTATAACAGAAAGAAAGAGGCCCCAGGTACAGTAAACCGTAACAGAAAGAAGAGGCCCAGGTACAGTAAACAGATAACAGAAAGAAAAGAGGCCCAGGTACAGTAAACAGTAACAGAAAGAAAGAGCCCAGTACAGTAAACAGTAACAGAAAGAAAGAGGCCCCAGGTACAGTAAACAGTAACAGAAAAGAAAGAGGCCCAGGTACAGTAAACAGTAACAGAAAGAAAGAGGCCCAGGTACAGTAAACAGTAACAGAAAGAAAGAGGCCCAGGTACAGTAAACAGTAACAGAAAGAAAGAGGCCCAGGTACAGTAAACAGTAACAGAAAGAAAGAGGCCCAGGTACAGTAAACAGTAACAGAAAGAAAGAGGCCCAGGTACAGTAAACAGTAACAGAAAGAAGTCAAGGAAATAGTAACATCAGGAAAAAACATTTAATAGAAAAGTAGATGAAAAAGCAAAGTAGGAAAAATAAAACATATTTTGAAAGCTAGAATGAGGACCCATGTAGAATAGGGACATCAGTAGTATAGGGAACCCCGTGACCAAAAGGTTAACTGACAGTTGGTTGAGTCCACACCCAGAGCACGATATCAGCAAACTGCTACAGAGAAAGGGCTTCCACTATATTGGGAATATAACCCTGCTGTCATCGATACGTTAGCTTCCAGCCCTTCCGCTATATTGGGGATATAACCCTGCTGTCATCGATACGTTAGCTTCCAGCCCTTCCTGCTCCTTGGGATATAACCCTGCTGTCATCGATACGTTAGCTTCCAGCCCTTCCGCTATATTGGGGATATAACCCTGCTGTCATCGATACGTTAGCATCCAGCCCATCCTGCTCCTTGGGATATAACCGGGCTGTCATCGATACGTTAGCATCCAGCCCTTCCTGCTCCTTGGGGATATAACCCTGCTGTCATCGATACGTTAGCATCCAGCCCTTCCGCTATATTGGGGATATAACCCTGCTGTCATCGATACGTTAGCTTCCAGCCCTTCCTGCTCCTTGGGATAGCCAGCAGTAAATCCTCTACGGTCCAATTCTCATACTACAGTTTGGGCCAACCCTCTATCTCTCTGGCCTATATAAACATGGACGGGCGTGTGGGTACAGAACCACAATATATGAGAGAGCGTGAGAGACAGTGAGAGAGAGAGTGAGTGAGTGAGTGAGTGAGTGAGTGAGTGAGTGAGTGAGTGAGTGAGTGAGTGAGTGAGTGAGTGAGTGAGTGAGTGAGTGAGTGAGTGAGTGAACCACTGGTCCGTAGGTTATATACAACAGGATGGGAACCACTGGTCTGTAGGTTATATACAACAGGATGGGAACCACTGGTCTGTAGGTTATATACAACAGGATGGGAACCACTGGTCTATAGGTTATATACAACAGGATGGGAACCACTGGTCTGTAGGTTATATACAACAGGATGGGAAACCACTGGTCTGTAGGTTATATACAACAGGATGGGAACCACTGGTCTGTAGGTTATATACAACAGGATGGGAACCACTGGTCTGTAGGTTATATACAACAGGATGGGAACCACTGGTCTGTAGGTTATATACAACAGGATGGGAACCACTGGTCTGTAGGTTATATACAACAGGATGGGAACCACTGGTCTGTAGGTTATATACAACAGGATGGGAACCACTGGTCCGTAGGTTATATACAACAGGATGGGAACCACTGGTCCGTAGGTTATATACAACAGGATGGGAACCACTGGTCTGTAGGTTATATACAACAGGATGGGAACCACTGGTCTGTAGGTTATATACAACAGGATGGGAACCACTGGTCTGTAGGTTATATACAACAGGATGGGAACCACTGGTCTATAGGTTATATACAACAGGATGGGAACCACTGGTCTGTAGGTTATATACAACAGGATGGGAACCACTGGTCTGTAGGTTATATACAACAGGATGGGAACCACTGGTCTATAGGTTATATACAACAGGATGGGAACCACTGGTCTGTAGGTTATATACAACAGGATGGGAACCACTGGTCTGTAGGTTATATACAACAGGATGGGAACCACTGGTCTGTAGGTTATATACAACAGGATGGGAACCACTGGTCTGTAGGTTATATACAACAGGATGGGAACCACTGGTCTGTAGGTTATATACAACAGGATGGGAACCACTGGTCTGTAGGTTATATATAACAGGATGGGAACCACTGGTCTGTAGGTTATATACAACAGGATGGGAACCACTGGTCTATAGGTTATATACAACAGGATGGGAACCACTGGTCTATAGGTTATATACAACAGGATGGGAACCACTGGTCTATAGGTTATATACAACAGGATGGGAACCACTGGTCTGTAGGTTATATACAACAGAATGGGAACCACTGGTCTGTAGGTTATATACAACAGGATGGGAACCACTGGTCTGTAGGTTATATACAACAGGATGGGAACCACTGGTCTATAGGTTATATACAACAGGATGGGAACCACTGGTCTGTAGGTTATATACAACAGGATGGGAACCACTGGTCTGTAGGTTATATACAACAGGATGGGAACCACTGGTCTGTAGGTTATATACAACAGGATGGGAACCACTGGTCTGTAGGTTATATACAACAGGATGGGAACCACTGGTCTGTAGGTTATATACAACAGGATGGGAACCACTGGTCTGTAGGTTATATACAACAGGATGGGAACCATTGGTCTGTAGGTTATATACAACAGGATGGGAACCACTGGTCTGTAGGTTATATACAACAGGATGGGAACCACTGGTCTGTAGGTTATATACAACAGGATGGGAACCACTGGTCTGTAGGTTATATACAACAGGATGGGAACCACTGGTCTATAGGTTATATATAACAGGATGGGAACCACTGGTCTGTAGGTTATATACAACAGGATGGGACCCACTGGTCTGTAGGTTATATACAACAGGATGGGAACCACTGGTCTGTAGGTTATATACAACAGGATGGGAACCACTGGTCTGTAGGTTATATACAACAGGATGGGAACCACTGGTCTATAGGTTATATACAACAGGATGGGAACCACTGGTCCGTAGGTTATATATAACAGGATGGGAACCACTGGTCTGTAGGTTATATACAACAGGATGGGAACCACTGGTCTGTAGGTTATATACAACAGGATGGGAACCACTGGTCTATAGGTTATATACAACAGGATGGGAACCACTGGTCCGTAGGTTATATATAACAGGATGGGAACCACTGGTCTGTAGGTTATATACAACAGGTTTGGAATATATTCTACAGGTGTTCTTACCTGGTATCTTGAGGTTGAGGTCACAGACACTACCGACGGTAGCGATGGAAGCAGCCTTCTGTCGCCTGGTGACGCTCTCTCTGATACGGCCTTCTCCGGTCACCTTCACTGTGAACGGGCTGCCTGTGGCCACAAACACACACAGCAGGGCCAATAGTCACTATAACCTCATTTTATATTAAAATCAAATCATTGTACCATTTTAAAATTAGATCACACTGACATTTCACAACTACAAGCTCTGCTGCACCACCATAGGGGTATGTTAGTTACGAAGCAAGCTGGATCTACTCAGGGTTTTCTAAGAGCTAACCAGCTTCAGTTAGTTTCACATTCCAGCTCAGGCTTTATCCGTTCTACGACGGTAGAAATGACTTTCCCGCCTGCCACCAACTCTAGCAGGCATGTAGCACCTAGCTAGTCGAACGCCCAACTCGTCATTGAGAACGCTGAAACATTCATCCGTGGGCAAGTCTGTGCCACATTTTCATTTTGTGCAAAAAAACAGGAATCAGGAGGATAGAAATGTACCTGACTAAAAGGTGAGCCACATTCGTATGACCGGTTATCCCGTGTTGAACTCTACCTCGCTAACTCCTCAAACCTGACTGGTAGGATACCCCTCATGGCATTACGAACGTTGACACTAATCACTCTTGGTAGAGAGCAGCAGAGCTAAGTGTCTGGTACATTAAGTTAGCTACAGTGGGGGAAAAAAGTATTTAGTCAGCCACCAATTGTGCAAGTTCTCCCACTTAAAAAGATGAGAGGCCTGTAATTTTCATCATAGGTACACGTCAACTATGACAGACAAAATGAGAAAAAAAATCCAGAAAATCACATTGTAGGATTTTTTATGAATTTATTTGCAAATTATGGTGGAAAATAAGTATTTGGTCAATAACAAAAGTTTCTCAATACTTTGTTATATACCCTTTGTTGGCAATGACACGGGTCAAACGTTTTCTGTAAGTCTTCACAAGGTTTTCACACACTGTTGCTGGTATTTTGGCCCATTCCTCCATGCAGATCTCCTCTAGAGCAGTGATGTTTTGGGGCTGTCGCTGGGCAACACGGACTTTCAACTCCCTCCAAAGATTTTCTATGGGGTTGAGATCTGGAGACTGGCTAGGCCACTCCAGGACCTTGAAATAATTATTACGAAGCCACTCCTTCGTTGCCCGGGCGGTGTGTTTGGGATCATTGTCATGCTGAAAGACCCAGCCACGTTTCATCTTCAATGCCCTTGCTGATGGAAGGAGGTTTTCACTCAAAATCTCACGATACATGGCCCCATTCATTCTTTCCTTTACACGGATCAGTCGTCCTGGTCCCTTTGCAGAAAAACAGCCCCAAAGCATGATGTTTCCACCCCCATGCTTCACAGTAGGTATGGTGTTCTTTGGATGCAACTCAGCATTCTTTGTCCTCCAAACACGACGAGTTGAGTTTTTACCAAAAAGTTATATTTTGGTTTCATCTGACCATATGACATTCTCCCAATCCTCTTCTGGATCATCCAAATGCACTCTAGCAAACTTCAGACGGGCCTGGACATGTACTGACTTAAGCAGGGGGACACGTCTAGCACTGCAGGATTTGAGTCCCTGGCGGCGTAGTGTGTTACTGATGGTAGGCTTTGTTACTTTGGTCCCAGCTCTCTGCAGGTCATTCACTAGGTCCCCCTGTGTGGTTCTGGGATTTTTGCTCACCGTTCTTGTGATCATTTTGACCCCACGGGGTGAGATCTTGCGTGGAGCCCCAGATCGAGGGAGATTATCAGTGGTCTTGTATGTCTTTCATTTCCTAATAATTGCTCCCACAGTTGATTTCTTCAAACCAAGCTGCTTACCTATTGCAGATTCAGTCTTCCCAGCCTGGTGCAGGTCTACAATTTTGTTTCTGGTGTCCTTTGACAGCTCTTTGGTCTTGGCCATAGTGGAGTTTGGAGTGTGACTGTTTGAGGTTGTGGACAGGTGTCTTTTATACTGATAACAAGTTCAAACAGGTGCCATTAATACAGGTAACGAGTGGAGGACAGAGGAGCCTCTTAAAGAAGAAGTTACAGGTCTGTGAAAGCCAGAAATCTTGCTTGTTTGTAGGTGACCAAATACTTATTTTCCACCATAATTTGCAAATAAATTCATAAAAATCCTACAATGTGATTTTCTGGATTTTTTTTTCTCAATTTGTCAATCATAGTTGACGTGTACCTATGATGAAAATTACAGGCCTCTCTCATCTTTTTAAGTGGGAGAACTTGCACAATTGGTGGCTGACTAAATACTTTTTTCCCCCACTGTATAGGTAGAGTGTCTTACCTGGCACGTGTTTTCCCCCACTGTATGTGTAGAGTGTCTTACCTGGCACGTGTTTTCCCCCACTGTATGTGTAGAGTGTCTTACCTGGCACGTGTTTTTCCCCACTGTATGTGTAGAGTGTCTTACCTGGCACGTGTTCGTCAGCGAAGCGTATGGAGACGATGTAGGAGCCTGGTTCTGATGGGCAGTAAGAGACGCCACACGTCCCATCCTCCATGTCCTGGGTCTGGATGTCCACTTTACTGGGCCCCTCAACAGATAAGGCCAGACCCCCGTAACCTGGGGGAGAGGATGACAACACCAGTCAGACCCTGGATGGACAGGCCCAGACCCCCGTAACCTAGGGGACCACAACACCAGTCAGACCCTGGAAGGACAGGCCCAGCCCCCCGTAACCTAGGGGACCACAACACCAGTCAGACCCTGGATGGACAGGCCCAGACCCCCGTAACCTGGGGGAGAGGATGACAACACCAGTCAGACCCTGGAAGGACAGGCCCAGACCCCCGTAACCTAGGGGACCACAACACCAGTCAGACCCTGGATGGACAGGCCCAGACCCCCGTAACCTAGGGGACCACAAACACCAGTCAGACCCTGGAAGGACAGGCCCAGACCCCCGTAACCTAGGGGACCACAACACCCGTCAGACCCTGGATGGACAGGCCCAGACCCCCGTAACCTAGGGGACCACCAACACCAGTCAGACCATGGAGGACAGGCCCAGACCCCCGTAACCTAGGGGACCACAACACCAGTCAGACCCTGGATGGACAGGCCCAGACCCCCGTAACCTAGGGGACCACAACACCAGTCAGACCCTGGATGGACAGGCCCAGACCCCCGTAACCTAGGGGACCACAACACCAGTTAGACCCTGGATGGACAGGCCCAGACCCCCGTAACCTAGGGGACCACAACACCAGTTAGACCCTGGATGGACAGGCCCAGACCCCCGTAACCTGGGGGAGAGGATGACAACACCAGTCAGACCCTGGATGGACAGGCCCAGACCCCCGTAACCTAGGGGACCACAACACCCGTCAGACCCTGGATGGACAGGCCCAGACCCCCGTAACCTAGGGGACCACAACACCAGTCAGACCCTGGATGGACAGGCCCAGACCCCCGTAACCTAGGGGACCACAACACCAGTCAGACCCTGGATGGACAGGCCCAGACCCCCGTAACCTAGGGGACCACAACACCAGTCAGACAGATAATTCTGGGAGTGAGCAATGCATTCAGGAGTCGTGTCAGTTCCCGAATGGTCAGGAAACCATTGTGACTAAATCAAATGATGCTTTCTAACAAACCATGACGCTGTAGATGATGGACACTTTGGAAAAACAAATCAGGATGTAAAATCCACACATTATTGTGTTCACATCATACAGCCAACGAAAATACTAAACTTAGTAACAACAAAAGCACATTTCTGGTTTCCAGAAAGAACAGTGTTGGTTTCCCGTAATACAGTGTTAAAAGGTTAAATAACTAAACCCATTCAGTTCATTCTCTTCCTGTATATCCATTCTCTTCCTGTATATCCATTCTCTTCCTGTATATCCATTCTCTTCCTGTATATCCATTCTCTTCCTGTATATCCATTCCCCTCTGAAGCCCTGTTCTGTTCTTCACCCTGTACTACTCTACCTAATTACAATGACTGCTTCCCAAATGGCACCCTATTTCCTATGTAGTGCACTACTTTTGACCAGGACCCATAGGGAATAGAGCACTACTTCAGACCAGGACCCACATAGGGAATAGGGTGCCATTTGGGACACGGTCAGTCACTGACTCCACAACATCCTGTAGACTCCACAGCGTTATATCACATTAAATTAACCATAACATTTACCAGACGTTTTGGCTGAAACGGTTATTTCCTCACGTTATCCACCATTACCGGAACCTGAGACACCCCAGAGACTGCGTGTTACGTGTGTGTGAAGGTGTGAGAATCAATAAAAAAAATGGGGAACATAATTAAATGCTGCGGTCAGCACGGCTCCCAACTGAACCAGAGAAGAAAGACCGTGCTGACCGCGTGTGTGTGTGTGTGTGTGTGTGTGTGTGTGTGTGTGTGTGTGTGTGTGTGTGTGTGCGCTAACAGCTAACCGCAAGCTAACCACACTCGCCACGTCATCGCCACACTATTAGGTCTTAAATCTCTAATGTATAGGAGTCATAGGCCAGCTATAGTATGTGCTACGTAACCATCCCTTTAAAAAGCACTGCTGCAATAATCCCCTTTAACTTTCCAAAGACGTAGAACCACCCCCCTGAGCCTCAGTAACTAGGCTTTGGTCAGGAACTCATCCTTGTAAGAACGTGAGGTTAAGCGTGAGAGGCATGCAGTGACGTATGAAGGCAGGACACCAATACCCCCAAATCAACACCCCCATGGCCTCTTAAAGAAAACGTTTTAATTGGAGACTAATTATTTTAGGTGGGTGGCGGTAACAGTGTCAGGCGGGGCGACCCTGGGCCGTTGTAATACCTATAACCATTTAAGACAGACACTCACCAGCTTCTCGTGTGTCGACCACAAAGTCGGACATGTCGAAGGTGTGTCCCTCGACCAGCCCCTGTCCGTACACCTTGACCTTGGAGGCGTCGCCGATCTCTGATTGCACAACCATGATGGTGATGGGGCTGTTGGCAACATGGCGGCCATTCTTCTTGATGCTCACCAGGTGCTCCCCAACCTCCCTCGGGATGAAGGAGATACCTGAGGGGGGAAGGGGGGGAGAGAGAGAGAGAGAGACAGAGAGACAGAGAGAGACAGAGAGACAGCGAGAGCGAGAGAGTTAAAGCAAACCTACTTTACTATGCAAGATGGATGGAAGGGGTTGGGGTCAGGTCTTACCGATGTGGTTGTTGGGCTGTCTCTTGAGAAGGCAGGGTTCGTCGCGGCCAGAGGGGGCCTTGATGCTGGCGGTCAGTAGAGACAGGTCAGTCTCTGTAATGTCCAGGGAGAAGTCAGCTGCAGAACCCAACTTCAACTGGGAGCAACGCTTTTCCTCTGGAAAGAGACACACAGACAGGGTTAGCGAGTGAGTGAGTCAGCAGCAGTCACATTGACCATTCAGGATGAGAGAAGTAGAGGAACTGTTTGTTCAGGTCATGGATGGGCCTTTTCACAGAGCTATAGTGTCAACAGGCTTCTGTTCCAGCCGAGCACTAAGACAGGCTTCTGTTCCAGCCGAGCACTAAGACAGGCTTCTGTTCCAGCCGAGCACTAAGACAGGCTTCTGTTCCAGCCGAGCACTAACATACAGGCTTCTGTTCCAGCCGAGCACTAAGACAGGCTTCTGTTCCAGCCGAGCACTAAGACACAGGCTTCTGTTCCAGCCGAGCACTAAGACAGGCTTCTGTTCCAGCCGAGCACTAAGACAGGCTTCTGTTCCAGCCGAGCACTAACACACAGGCTTCTGTTCCAGCCGAGCACTAAGACAGGCTTCTGTTCCAGCCGAGCACTAACACACAGGCTTCTGTTCCAGCCGAGCACTAACACACAGGCTTCTGTTCCAGCCGAGCACTAACACACAGGCTTCTGTTCCAGCCGAGCACTAAGACAGGCTTCTGTTCCAGCCGAGCACTAACACACAGGCTTCTGTTCCAGCCGAGCACTAAGACAGGCTTCTGTTCCAGCCGAGCACTAACACACAGGCTTCTGTTCCAGCCGAGCACTAACACACAGGCTTCTGTTCCAGCCGAGCACTAAGACAGGCTTCTGTTCCAGCCGAGCACTAAGACAGGCTTCTGTTCCAGCCGAGCACTAAGACACAGGCTTCTGTTCCAGCCGAGCACTAAGACACAGGCTTCTGTTCCAGCCGAGCACTAAGACAGGCTTCTGTTCCAGCCGAGCACTAAGACAGGCTTCTATTCCAGCCGAGCACTAACACACAGGCTTCTGTTCCAGCCGAGCACTAACACACAGGCTTCTGTTCCAGCCGAGCACTAAGACAGGCTTCTGTTCCAGCCGAGCACTAAGACAGGCTTCTGTTCCAGCCGAGCACTAACACACAGGCTTCTGTTCCAGCCGAGCACTAAGACAGGCTTCTGTTCCAGCCGAGCACTAAGACAGGCTTCTGTTCTAGCCGAGCACTAACACACAGGCTTCTGTTCCAGCCGAGCACTAAGACAGGCTTCTGTTCCAGCCGAGCACTAAGACAGGCTTCTGTTCCAGCCGAGCACTAAGACAGGCTTCTGTTCCAGCCGAGCACTAAGACAGGCTTCTGTTCCAGCCGAGCACTAAGACAGGCTTCTGTTCCAGCCCAGCCGAGCACTAAGACAGGCTTCTGTTCCAGCCGAGCACTAACACACAGGCTTCTGTTCCAGCCGAGCACTAACACACAGGCTTCTGTTCCAGCCGAGCACTAACACACAGGCTTCTGTTCCAGCCGAGCACTAAGACACAGGCTTCTGTTCCAGCCGAGCACTAACACACAGGCTTCTGTTCCAGCCGAGCACTAACACACAGGCTTCTGTTCCAGCCGAGCACTAAGACAGGCTTCTGTTCCAGCCGAGCACTAAGACAGGCTTCTGTTCCAGCCGAGCACTAAGACAGGCTTCTGTTCCAGCCGAGCACTAACACACAGGCTTCTGTTCCAGCCGAGCACTAAGACAGGCTTCTGTTCCAGCCGAGCACTAAGACAGGCTTCTGTTCCAGCCGAGCACTAACACACAGGCTTCTGTTCCAGCCGAGCACTAACACACAGGCTTCTGTTCCAGCCGAGCACTAAGACAGGCTTCTGTTCCAGCCGAGCACTAACACACAGGCTTCTGTTCCAGCCGAGCACTAAACACACAGGCTTCTGTTCCAGCCGAGCACTAAGACAGGCTTCTGTTCCAGCCGAGCACTAAGACAGGCTTCTGTTCCAGCCGAGCACTAACACACAGGCTTCTGTTCCAGCCGAGCACTAAGACAGGCTTCTGTTCCAGCCGAGCACTAAGACAGGCTTCTGTTCCAGCCGAGCACTAAGACAGGCTTCTGTTCCAGCCGAGCACTAAGACAGGCTTCTGTTCCAGCCGAGCACTAACACACAGGCTTCTGTTCCAGCCGAGCACTAACACACAGGCTTCTGTTCCGCCGAGCACTAAGACAGGCTTCTGTTCCAGCCGAGCACTAAGACAGGCTTCTGTTCCAGCCGAGCACTAAGACAGGCTTCTGTTCCAGCCGAGCACTAAGACAGGCTTCTGTTCCAGCCGAGCACTAACAGACAGGCTTCTGTTCCAGCCGAGCACTAAGACAGGCTTCTGTTCCAGCCGAGCACTAAGACAGGCTTCTGTTCCAGCCGGCACTAACACACAGGCTTCGGTTCCAGCCCGAGCACTAACACACAGGCTTCTGTTCCAGCCGAGCACTAACACACCGGCTTCTGTTTCCAGCGAGCCACTAAGGACAGGCTTCTGTTCCAGCGAGCACTAGGACAGGCTTCTGTTCCAGCCGAGCACTAACACACAGGCGTCTGTTCCAGCCGAGCACTAATACAGGCTTCTGTTCCAGCCGAGCACTAAGACAGGCTTCTGTTCCAGCCGAGCACTAAGACAGGCTTCTGTTCCAGCCGAGCACTAAGACAGGCTTCTGTTCCAGCCGAGCACTAACACACAGGCTTCTGTTCCAGCCGAGCACTAACACACAGGCTTCTGTTCCAGCCGAGCACTAAGACAGGCTTCTGTTCCAGCCGAGCACTAAGACAGGCTTCTGTTCCAGCCGAGCACTAAGACACAGGCTTCTGTTCCAGCCGAGCACTAACACACAGGCTTCTGTTCCAGCCGAGCACTAAGACAGGCTTCTGTTCCAGCCGAGCACTAAGACAGGCTTCTGTTCCAGCCGAGCACTAACACACAGGCTTCTGTTCCAGCCGAGCACTAACACACAGGCTTCTGTTCCAGCCGAGCACTAACACACAGGCTTCTGTTCCAGCCGAGCACTAACACACAGGCTTCTGTTCCAGCCGAGCACTAAGACAGGCTTCTGTTCCAGCCGAGCACTAAGACAGGCAACTTAACCAATAGTTTTCCAGACACCAGACAAACTATGATCAGCTTTATTGGAATCAGATACAGTGGTTCCTCAATTAAAAGGTTTGAGCTCATGCCGTGACCGTTTGTAGTAGATGGTGGCAGATGGTGGTAAATTGCGTCATTCTGTCATTGCACCACACTACCACAAGGGGGAGTTAGAAAACTGATCAAAACTTTGGCACAAATTGACTATCTTTTCGTAAATTAATGGAGGTGTAAATGTTTCAGTCCGAGAGTCTCTCTCTTCTGGCACTAGAGTCTTGCTTCAGGCCAAAAAAATGTATAACTGGCGGGTGGTCCCCGAGTTGAGAGAGAACTTGGGTAAATACAACTGTGCAATTACACTTGACATGTGGACTGACGATTTTAGAAAAATAGGCACGGTGGGCTTTTGGTTTCTCTTCCTCTAAAAACAGACAGAAATAATTCTAAATAACAAACTGGCTTTATTTACCACAGTGTGAAAGAGTGATAGCTGCTCTATATAAACTGGCTTTATTTACCACAGTGTGAAAGAGTGATAGCCGCTCTATATAAAGGGAGTTTCTGAAACACAGAGTCCTTCTTTACTGATGGGAAGAAGAAACTGAATGAAAGAGTCCGGTGAGGACAGGAAGGACAGGGAGGACAGGGTGGACAGGGTGGACAGGGAGGACAGGGTGGACAGGGAGGACAGGGAGGACAGGGAGGACAGGGTGGACAGGGAGGACAGGGTGGACAGGGTGGACAGGGAGGACAGGGTGGACAGGGAGGACAACGAGGACAGTGAGGAGAAAAAGGTTGCCCATATTTTCAAGACCTGAGGTACTTCATTTATTTATGAAATGTACTAGTTTATTTAGGCAATGTAATATATTAGTTTAGGCTTGGCTTATTTAGTCGGCTATTTCGCAGCATTAAGCCATACTTGTCAGCTTAAGCTGAGTGACTCACCCATTCATAAGACTGCTGAACAGCTAATCAAAACGGCTACCCGGACTATTTGCATTGCTGCCCCCCCCCTTTAAGCTGCTGCTACTCTCTGTTTATTATCTATGCATAGTCACTTTAACTCTACCTACATGTACAAATGACCTTGACTAACCGGTGCACACTGACTCTGTACCGGTAAATAATATAATAATAATAATAAGCCATTTAGCAGACACTTTTATCCAAAGCGACTTACAGTCATGTGTGCATACATTTTTACGTATGGGTGGTCCCGGGGATCGAACCCACTACCCTGGCGTTACAAGCGCCGTGCTCTACCAGCTGAGCTACAGAGGACCTCGTAGGGTTAGGAGATAGATGACAGGTACCCTTTATTTTACTGCTGCTCTTTAATTATTTATTATTATTTTTATTTTTTTACTTACCCATTTTTTACTAAAAACGTACTTTTCTTAAAACTGCATTGTTGGTTAAGGGCTTGTAAGTAAGCATTTCACGGTAAGGTCTACACCTGTTGTATTCGGCGCATGTGACAAATAAAATTGACATCTCTGGAGAGACCTGAAAATAGCTGTGCAGCGACGCTCCCCATCCAACCTGACAGAGGTTGAGAGGATCAGCAGAGAAGAATGGGAGAAACTCCCCAAATACAGATGTGCCAAGCTTGTAGCGTCATACCCAAGAAGACTCGAGGCTGTAATCGCTGCCAAAGGTGCTTCAACAAAAGTCCTGAGTAAAGGGTCTGAATACTTATGTAAATGGGATATTTCCGTTTTTATTTGTAACACATCTGCAAACATTTCTCAAAACCTGTTTTTAGTTTGTCAGTATGGGGTATTGTGTGTAGATTGATTATCATTTTTTTATTTATTTTTTAAAATCCATTTTAGAATAAGGCTGTAACTTAACAAAATGTGGAAAAAGTCAAGGGGTTTGAATACTTCCCGAATGCACTGTATGTAGACAGACGGATTAAAAAGTGAATTTCCATTGTAATACGTCTAACAGTCTATCTTCACCCATAACTTTGACTTTATAACATTCCCAGAAGGCATGGAT